TCTGGGTGACAGAGTGAGACTCCAACTCAAAAAAAAAAAAGAAAGAAAAGAGAGAAAGCTGAGACAGATCAAAAGCTGGGCCTCTCGCTCCAGACTTTAGCCAGGTTGTGAATGCAGCGGAGGAAATTAAAAGTGCTACTTCAGTGAAGAGATGAATGACAAGAAAACAAAGCAGCCTTGTCACTGGTTTGGAGAAAGTTTTCCAGGTCTGGGTATGTCAGATCAACCACAACCCTGAAACCAAAGCCTAATCCAGAGCAAGGCCCTGACATTCCTCAATTCCATGAAGGTTGAGAGAAGGAAGGAAGCTACAGAAGTTGGTTCGTGATGTTTAGGGAAAGAGGCAGTCTCCATAACGTAGAAGTGGAAGGTGAAGCAGCAAGTGCTATGTAGAGGCTGCATTAAGTTATCCAGAAGGTACATCTCAAATAATCCACTAAACAGTAGATATTTTGTGAAGACCAAACAGCTTTATGTTGGAAGAATATGGCATCTAGGACTTTCATAACTAGGAAGAAGTGAAAAGCACAGGCTGACTCTCTTGTTAGGGGCTAATGCAGCTGGTGACTTTTAAGTTGAAGCCAGTGTTCATCTGCCATCTGAAAATCCCAGAACCCTTAAGAATTATGTTGTGCTCTATAGGTGGAACAACAAAGCCTGGATGACAGCACATCTGTTTACAGCATGGCTTACTGAATATTTTAAGCCCACTGTTAGGATCTGCTCAGAAGAAAGATTCCTTTTAAATTTGTCTTCATCGACAGTGCACCTAGTCACTCAAGAACTCTCATGGAAATGTACAAGGAGATTAATGTTATTTTCATGCCTGCTGACACAGCATTTATTCTGTAGCCTATGGATCAAGAAGTAATTTAGACTTTCAAGTCTTACTATTTATGAAATGCATTTCGTAATGCTATAGCTGTCATTTATGGTGATTCCTCTTACAGATTTGGGCAACGTAAATAAAAAACCTTCTGGAAATGTTTCACCGTTCTGGATGCCATTGAAAACATTTGTAATTAGTGGGAGGAGGTCAAAATATCAACATTAACAGAAGTTTGGAAGAAGCTGATTTCAACTTTGAGTAGTTCAAGACTCCAGTGTAGGAATTAACTGTAGATGTAGTAGAAATACCAAGTGAACTAGAATTAGAAGTGAAGCCTGAAGATGATGCACTCCCATGATGAAACTAGAACAGATGAGAAGTTGCCTCTTATGTATAAGCAAAAAAAGTGACTTCTTGAGATGCAGTCTACTCCTGATGGAGATAACTGTGGACACTGTCGAAATGACAGCAGAGGATTTAGACTGTTAGGTTAATTTAGTTGATAAAGCCGCAGAAGGATTTGGGATAATTGACTCCAGTTTTGATAGAAACCAAACTGTAAAGCTGCATTGCATGCTACAGGGAAATCTTTTGTGAAAGGAAGAGTCAATTGATGTGGCAAACTTTTGTTGTCTTATTTTAAGAATGCCACAGCAACCCTAACCATCACCAACCACCACCCTGATCAGTCAGCAGACATCAACATCAAGGCAAGACCCTCCACTAGTAAAAAGAGTACCTCTTGCTAAAGACTCAGATTACTATCAGCATGTTTAGCAATAAAGTATTTTAAAATTATGTACACTTTTTAGACATGCTTTTGCACACTTAATATAGTGTGAACATAATTTTTATATGACTTGGGAAACTATACAATTCATGTGACTCTATTGTGAAACTTGCTTTATTGTGGTGGTTTATAACTGAACCTATGCATGCGTGTGTGTGTGTGTGTGTGTGTGTGTGTGTGTGTGTGTGTGTGTGTGTGTGTGAGAGAGAGAGAGAGAGAGAGAGAGACAGACAGACAGAGAGACAGAGAGAGAGAGAGACTGCATTCAAATACAATACTAAGATTCATAGGAAAAGAAGACTGGACGATAGTAATGCTGAAATTGTTATCCTCTAAATCTCCATTGGGTGAAAGTGAAGTTTTTCTTTATACTTTTTCCATAATTTTTTTGTGTCCTACAGTGTTTAGATACATAAATGCCATTGTGTTACTATTGCCTGCAGTATTCAGTATAGTAACATGCTGTACAGGTTTGTAGCCTAGGAGCAGTGCCATACAGCCTAGGTGTGTAGTAGGCTATACCATGCAGGTTTGTGTAAGTACATTATGTTGTTCGCACAATGATAAAATCAACTAATAATGCATTTCTTAGAACATATTCCTGATGTTAAACAATGCATTACTGTTTCCTTTATAATGAGAGGAAGAGCCTCAGCATAAAAAGTTTAAGAATAGAAGGCAGGGAATGGTGGTTCACGTCTGTAATCCTAGTACTTTGTGAGGCTGTGACAGGAGGATTGCTTGAGCTCAGAAGTCCAAGACCAGCCTATGCAGCACAGTGAGACTTCTTCTCTATAAAAAATCAAAAATTTAGGTGGACATGGTGGCTAATTAGTAGTCCTAGCTCCTTTGAGGTTAAGGCAGGAGGATCACTTGAGCCTAAGAGTTTGAGGTAGTAGTGATCTGTAATTGTGCCACTGCCCTCCAGCTTGGATGACAGAGTGAGACTCTAACTGAAAAAAAAAAAATGAAGGCTGAGGCGGAAGGATCGCCGGAGCCCAGCAGGTCGAAGCTGTGGTGGCCAGGAGCAGCCACTGCACTCCAGTCTGGGCGACAGAGTGAGACTCCAACTCAAAAAAAAAAAAATGTGTAAGAAAAAAATGAGGCTGGGCTTAGTGACTCAGTGTATAGTCCCAGCACTTTGGGAGGCTGAGGCAAGTGGTTGACCTGAGCCGACAGGTTCAAGATCAGCCCAGGCAACTTGGCGAGACCTCACCTCTACAATAAATAAAAAATTAGCTGGGCATGGTAGTGCACACCTGTAGTTCTGGCTACTTGGAAGACTGAGCCAGAAGGAGCCCAGTGGGTCGATGCTGGGATGGCTGTGAATATGCCACTTCACCCTAGCCTGGGTGACAGTGAGACTCCAATTCAAAAAAAAAAAAGACGGAATGAAAAGAATGACTCCAGGTATGGTGGCTCACGCTTGTAACCCAGCACTTTGGGAGGCAGAGGCAAGAGGTTTGCCTGAGTCCAGGGGCTGGAGACCAACCTGGGCAACTTGGTGAGACCTCGTCTCTACAAAAAATCAAAAAATTAGCTGGGTGTGATGGTGCGTGCCTATAGTTCCAGCTACTTGGAAAGCTGAGGTGGAAGGATCACCTGAGCCCAACAGTCGAGGCTACAGTGGCTGTGAGCGTGCCACTGCACTCCAGCCTGAGTGACACAGTGAGACTCCAACTCAGGAAAAAAACAAAAAAGCTAATTCCGTTTGCTTCCCTCATTCTAGTTATGTATTCTTATAGTATTATGTGATAGGTTTTTGGAAAATAGGTTTACAGTACGTGATCATTTCATGATTATTTTTTGTCCAAACCTTTAAATAAAGAAAAAATTGTGGCATTGCTAATTTGGACTGGGTTTTTCTTTATTAGATTTCATCTTGTTGGATTTAGCCGATCTTTTATTTTTATTTAATTTAATTTTTTTGTTTTTTTGAGTTGGAGTCTCACTCTGTCGCCCAGACTGGAGTACAGTGGCCGCTCTTGGCCAACCCAGCCTCCACCTGCTGGGGGCTCCGGCGATCCTTCCGCCTCAGCCTTCCAAGTAGCTGGAACTACAGGCGCGCACTACCACGCCCGGCTAATTTTTTGATTTATTGTAGTGATGGGGTCTCGCCAAGTTGCCCAGGCGGGTCTCGAACCCATGGGCTCAGGCAATCCACTCACCTCGGCCTCCCAAATGCGCGGGATTACAGGCTGAGCCACCGAGCCCAACTGGCCTATCTTTTAGAATGCCTGTTTTGTCAGTGAACACATTGTCTAACCCTCTCAAGTTCATATCTGTCAGAACTTTCGTAATGTCACTCATAGCCTCATATATATATAATTGATAGAATTGTTGAATAAGTGTTTAAATTTCTTAAATCTAGCCAGGCCCAGTGGCTCACGCCTGTAATCTAAGCACTTTAGAAGGCAGTGCAAAAGAATTGACTGAGCCCAGGGGTTCAAGACCAGCCAGGGCAACTTGGCAAGACCTCATCTCTGCAATAAATCAAAAACTTAGCCAGCCCTGGTGGCACACACCTGTAGTTCCAGCTACTTGGAAGGGTCACCTGAGCTCAGCAGGTTGAAGCTGAAGCTGCAGTAGCCATGATTGGTGCCACTGCACTCCAGCCTGGGTGATAGAGTGAGACTCCAACTCCAAAATATATATATATATTTAGTCCTGGATATTGTATAAAAACATGTTTTAAAATAAACATCAGAAAAATTTGTAAAATATTTTTGTTGACAACTTTATTTTCAGATTTTTAGTTTGGATTATAAGTCAACATTTTTTAAAATCTTTTTTTAATTTGAGTTGGAGTCTCACTCTGTCGCCCAGACTAGAGTGCAGTAGCTGCTCCCGGCCACCGCAGCCTCGACCTGCTGGGCTCCGGCGATCCTTCCACCTCAACCTTCCAAGTAGCTGTAACTACAGGCACGTGCTACCACACCCAGCTAATTTTTTGATTTATTGTAGAGATGAGGTCTCACTAAGTTGCCCAGGCGGGTCTCGAACCCGTGAGCTCAGGCACTCCACTCACAACAGCCTCTGAAGGCGCGGGATTACAGGCTGAGCCATGGAGCCCAGTTTATAAATCAAAGTTTTTATAATCTGTATTTTTCTTTGTCTCCAGGGATCCATCTGTCTCTAAGTCTATAGAACGAATCTTTAAAATCTGGGAAGATAGAAATGTATACCCAGAAGAAATGATTGTGGCACTGAGAGAAGCTTTGAGTAAGTATCTTTTTCCGAAAATAAAATTTTGAGTAAATTTTTACTATTATTTTATAGATCGTGTGTTGCATAAGAATGAAAAATAAGGTTTTGAATCTGGCTCTGTTTATTTAAAATTAAATATTTGTAAAAATATAGATCTGTTTGAATCAAAATTTAAGTAGAATTGGTTTTCAGGATGGGGGTTGAATTTTGTTTTTAGTGACTAAAAAAGTAAGCCTTATTAAGTGATGATAGCTGTGTAATTATTTTCCTGCATTTGCTTTAATTGAGTGTTTCAAGTGGTTTCTTGTTTGTATTTAATAATTACTGCCCTGTCCTCTTACTGTTGGAGACTTTTTGGACAGGGTTTGGTAGTAAGTATATATTGGCAGTCTTCAAACTCTTTTGATTTAGATTTATAGTAAGCTGTATACCTAATTTTTTAAAAAGAAATTTAGTTCCTTTGTATTAGATGCATGTAATTAAGTCGTTGAATGGAAATTGGTGATAATTTGTTACCATGACTATCATATGACTAGAAATTTGCTTTAAAAATAGCATCCTCTAAGAAGCTGTTAAATTCTTTTAGTTTATTTATTTATTTATTTTTAAGCCTCCTGCTCTACTCTTTTCAGAATTGGTATTTGTTGATTATAGAAATCATGTTAATTTGACAGCTTCTTAGATCTGGTGAGAGTTTCTGTTTTTTAAATAAAAATCAAAGAAAAGGAAAGAAAGAACGCAAGTCTCGGATTGCCTTTTTTCATGCTACAACTTTGGCACTGAAGTGGACAGAACAGCTTCCCATAATGCCAGACTGCAAAAACTGAAATGTTTTCCAGGTACCACTTTCAAAACTCAGAAGCAGCTGAAAGAAAATCTGAACAAACAACCGAATAAGCAGTGGAAGAAATCACAAAGTAAGGAACAAAATCTCAACTAATGTAAAATTACCTCCTCTTTTTGGAGCAGAAGAAAATGTAAACCATTTGCATCGTACCTGGCCTAAACCAAGGGCAGGCCTGTGTTTTCCAGGCCTGGGAGGCTCCCACTGACTTATATTAAACAAGCCATCATGGAGTTACTTCTAAAAAATACTTTTAAACAAAGGAAATGCAGAAAAAGGGTTTGAGTGAAGATTCAAGAGTAGTTGGGGGATTGAAAGAAGAAAAAAGATACTTAATAGTTTCCAGGCTAATTCTCAGGTTCAAAGATGTATGAAGTTAGAGGCAGCTGGCATTAAACAACAGAGCTGAAGAGGAGACTAGGCATTAAGAAGCATTTCTGTGGGAACCATGAAATCCATCAGATTTGGGGATAACGCTACCAAATTAGACATGGGCCTCAAATCCTGGCCAGAAGCTCATTCTCTAACTGGAGCTCCTGTTATGCTTACCATATTTACCCAGCATGAGATCAAGGGAGTGGAAAATACTGCATGTGATAGGCTGCTGTGGGCAAACTGAGGAATATTGAGAGAGACTTGAAGGTTGGCGGGAACAAGGTAAAAGACAGTGGGAATTGGGAGGTAAAAACAAGACTCTTGGGATGGTTTTGCCTCAGCGAGCGTGTGATGTTCATCATGATTAAGGGAGTTCTCTGACATCTTTTTGGTCATAAATTGCATGCTTAGGAACAACAAGAGCCGTCATTTCAGCCAAAGTTCAACTGCTTAATAATGAATGAACTTAAAACACTCCTTACCTATTTTTACTATGAATTGAGTCAGCAGGAAAAGAAATCCAAAGAATAAATACATAGGAATAGAGTTGATATTTGTAGTTAATTTTCTTCAGCCAGTGCTCAGGATTAATTGGATATCCTGAACACTCTTAATTGGAAGTATTAAAATCCTCTTACACTCAGTCAGACTAGGAAAAGGTACTTCATGTATCTGAGTATCTCCAAATCAATAATTCTAGGATTTTATGACTTCAAGGGTTTGCTGGAGGTAAGTAGGTTAGGCCTATCTAAATAGTGTATTTTTTCTACTGATCATCCCTGGGGATGTATAAATTTCTTAGTCCATTATTTATTTTAGGAATTATATTATGACTTAAATGTGCATGTTTGCCATATGTTTAAAGACTACTCCCCTAACTATGGAGCTAAAATTTTTCCTATTAGTCAACTCTTTGTGTCTATATTCTTAATAACCTTTTGTTTAATTCCAACAGCATCCACAAATCCAAAAGCTGCTCTCAAGTCTAAGATCGTTGCTGAATTTCGAGTAAGTTACAGAATTTGTTTACTATAGTGAAGCATTATTACCCTTTTGTGTTATAACTTCTTGTATAGTCCAGTAAGGTTTGTTTTATTCACGTGTATATAAATTATTTTAAACATGTTTGTTCTTAAAGGAATCCAGATTATTATTAGATTGCTGGAGATTTATCTGTTCCCCTAAATGGGAGAAATAACTTTCTTCCAGAATATCTATCACCAACTGAGTTCTTTATTGAATTTATGACAAGGGGAATTATCTTTTTATGAAGCTCTTCTAAATTAGAATTTGCTTAGAGTAGCAGAAGGCTAGGTTTATGTAATTAAAATTTAAAGGGGCTATAAATGGACCTTAGTCTTAACCCTGTATCCATAAGTTAGCTCTGAATAATTAAGGAAAAGTTTGTTTTAAAATATGTAACTTGCCAGGTGTGGTGGCTCACACCTATAATCCCAGCACTTTGGGAGGCCAAGGTTAGAGGATTGCCCGAGCCCAAGGGTTCAAGACCAGCCTGGGCAACTTGGTGAGACTTCATCTCTACAATAAATCAAAAAATTAGCTGGGCGTGGTGGCACATGCCTGTAGTTCCAGTTTCTTGGAAGTCTGAGGCAGAAGAATCACCTGAGCCCAGCAGGTTGAGGCTGTGGTGGCTGTGAGTATGCACTCCAGCCTGGATGATAGAGTGAGACTCCAACTCAAAAAAATAAAAATAAAAAAATAAGTAACTGAAAATATGATTTTGACATGAGAATTGATCACTGATATCCCTGACTATGAGGAAAAGTGAAAAATGGATTTTTTTTACTCTCAGGGTTTTGTTATGCTTTGGCTTTGTGTGTGTTTGTTTTTTAATGGGGAGCGACAGAATAATGGAATGATCTTGTAAATGAAATATGACTCTGGTCTGTGTTTAGTCTCAGGCCCTAATTGAAGAGCTGTTGCTATACAAGCGCTCAGAAGATCAGATAGAATTGAAGGAAAAACAGTTGTCAACTATGAGGGTGGATGTATGCAGCACAGAAACTCTCAAATGCTTAAAAGGTAATATTTATATCTCTTTAAATAAAATAAATCAGATTTTCTTTTCAGATCTGTCGGTTTTAGGTAATCTGCCTGCTTTACTCATAAAGATAATCTTGAATTATAGAAAGAAAGCAGTTGTGGCAGCTCTGGTTACCCAGGTAGTGAATTTATGCATATGAATTGCATAGGAAAATTATTCTTCTTCTCACTTCTACTGCTTTCTTGGTGTATTGTGTTCAGGTCAAACGTGATGGCTCACACCCGTAATCCCAGTACTTTTGGGAGGCCAAGACGGGAAGACCCTTTAACCCAGGAACTTGAGACCAGCCTGGGAAACATAGCAAGACCTCATCTCTATAAAAAAATAAAAAATTAGCCAGTTGTGGTGGCACTTGTCTGTCGTCCCAGCTACTTGAGAGGCTGAGGCAGGAAGATTGCTAGGGCTCGTTAGGTTGTGATGGCAGTGAGCCATGATTGTGCCACTGCACTCTAACCTGGGTGATAGAGCAAAATCCTGTCTCTAATTATAATAATAATAATAATAATAATAATAACAACAATAACAATAATAGTTGTATTTCACATGTGTTGTTAATTGGTATTGTGTACTCTTTAATGAGGTTACTGTACTACTTCATAATATCTGTTGCTAGTTAGTTGCTCTCTTTTTCTTACATTGTAAATTGTAAATCATACTAAAAATTTATTTGAATGCAAGCCTCAAGAAGGCAGACATTATCCTTATTTGTTCATTGCTATACTCTAGTACCTAAAGCAATACTTGGTGCATAATAGATATTTGATGAATATTTTTGAAATAAGTAAATGACTACTAACTATTCATTTTGGCACTTATTTTGTTTCTGCACCATACTTTAAATTTAACATATGTTATCTAATTTAAATCTCACAAAAACCTAAAAGTATGCTAAAATATAAATGAGAAATCTGAGGCCTTATGAAGAGAGGAGTAGCTTGCCCAAGTTACACAGCTGATGAGAGACAAAACCAAAATTTATACTTGTATCCAAAGCCATATTCTAACAGTCATAGGGAAAGTAGTATATATATATAGAATTATCAAGGATCTTTTTCAGATAGGAAAGAAGAATTTTTATTGTGGTACACACAGAGATCACATTATTTTTACTTTTCTGGAACTTGGTTTTCTCATCCAAGAGATACATCTTCTTACCTTCTATAATGCAAAAGTTGTGGTATAAATGAATAGAATTGAGCCTCATTCTGTTATTCTTAAGTAGCTGTGTGGCATCCAATTTGTGAAGAAAATAAGTAATCAACCAACTTTCTTTTAGTTCACCTTTCTTGACCTTAATTACAAGTGCCTTCACTTTTGCATCACTCCAGCAGGTTTACATGAATCTGTTTTGTGAAGAATTTGAATAATCTCTTCTGTGTTTGCAGAAACTTCTTTAAGACTATGAAACTAAGAATATTTAACATTAAGGCAGCAAGAGCAGCTTCACAAAGAGTAGGAGGTTTTTTTCTTCAAAATATTAAATTTTTCATTTTATTTTGACTACATCCTGTTTTATTTTAGATAAAACAGGTGGGAAGAAGTTCTCCAAAGAATTTGAAGAAGCAAGTTCCAAGCTGGAGGAATTTGTGAATGGATTAGATAAGCAAGTGAAAAATGGGCCCTCACTAACAGAAGCACTGGAAAATGCTGGAATTTTCTATGAAGCACAATACAAAGAAGTAAAAGTAGTGGCTAATGTAAGTAATAATTAAAGCTATCTCATACTGATTGCTTGTTAATATATGTCAGCAACTGTTTGCATCCATTATCTATCTCCATTAGGATAAGCATTATTATCTCCCTATCACAGAAGAGGAAGCTGCTGCCTTTCTCCTTCTTCCAGGATTATTGTGTAACTGCTCTAAGTCTGTCGATTGCCTTTGTAAATTGAGATACTATATTTACTATCTTTTGACCATTAACTCTAGACTCCCTACTTTATAAAATTAGGTTATTAACATCTCTATTATTTTCCATTAGTTTTCATCTATCCCTTTAATTTCCCAAATTCAGTCAACTATATTTGCTTTTATATTGCCAAGGTTGTTAATATTTACATACTGTTCTATAATTGTAAGTATTTTTCACTGCTCTAAAGGATGAGAAATAATTTTAAGTTGACATTATAACTATGTAAACATTGTTCATGGCAAGGTTTTATGGTAACTATGGTTATACTGGAAGTTTTTGGTTTCTTTTCTTGAATTTTTTCTTTCTTGGCATTGTTTGCCTCTTTTTTTTCTTTTTTTTCTTTTTTTAAATTCTCCATCACACCAGGTATTCTGAGTTCTCATTTGTCTCTGAGTCCTCCCACCTGAATTTCCGTTTTATTTTACCCATTTTGGGTTGTTCCCTAAATCTCAGGCTAAAACTACTACTGCTGTTCTAAGTTGAGTCCTCTATTTTCCAGATACTTGTGTCTTCTTTTCTTGGTTTATCTCATTTTACTGGTACATTCTCAAATAACATCCCAAAAAAGGGTTTGTGAGAGTTAAATTTTCTGTGCTCTTATATCTAAAAATGTCAGATAATTGAAATTCAGCCTTTTAAGAAATGTTTTAATTTAGACTAGGCACTGTGGCTCACGCCTGCAATCCCAGCACTTTGGGAGACTGAGGTGAGAGGATTGCCTGAGTCCAGGGGCTCAAGAAGAATCTGGGCAACTTGGTGAAACCTCGTCTCTTCAATAAAAAAATTATCCGGGTGTGGTGGCACATGCCTGTAGTTCCTCCTAGTTGAAGGCTGAGATGAAGGGATTGATTGTCTTGAGCTCAGCAGGTAGAGGCTGTGGCAGCCATGAGTGTGCACTCCAGCCTGGGTGACAGAGTCAGACTCCAACTCAAAAAGATTTTTAAAAAACAGCGGTTGTCGTGGCTCACGCCTGTAATCCCAACACTTTGGGAGGTGGAGGTGAGAGGATTACCAGAGCTCAGGGGTCCAAGACCAGCCTAAGGAACATGGTAAGACCTCGTCTTTACAATATATCAAAAAATCAGCCAGGCATGGTGGCACATGCCTGTGGTTCCAGCTACTTGGAAGGCTGAAGCAGAAGGATCACCTGAGCCCAACAAGTCGAAGTTACAGTGACTGAATGTGTGACTGCATTGCAACCTGGGCAACAGAGTGAGACTCCAACTCAGAAAAATCATTTTGACCAGGTGCTGTGGCTCAGGCCTGCAATCCCAGCACTTTGGGAGGCCTAAGCAAGAGGATTGCTTGTGCCTAGGAGTTCGAGATTAGCCTGGGCAACATAGTCAGACCTCATTTCTACAAAAAATCAAAAAATTAACTTGATGGGGTGGTGCACACCTGTAGTCCCAGCTGCTTAGGAGGCTAAAGTAGAAGAACTGCTGGAGCCCAGGAGGTTAGACTGCAGTGAGGCATGCTTGTGCCACTGCATTCCAGCACGGGCGACAGAGTGAGACCCTGACTCAAACAAAATAAAACAAAAAACCCAAATGTAGATGTTTAATACAATAAATTTCCCTCTAAGTTGCATCTCACAAGTTTTTATATTTAAATGTGTCTTGTCCAAACCACATGTTGTTGGATCTTGTCTTTGTTATATTGTAGATTTTTGTTTGCTTGTTTTTTGAGTCAGGGCCTCACTCTGTCACCCAGGCTTGAGTACAGTTGGCACAATCAAGGCTCACCGCAGCCTCAACCTCCTGGGCTCAGGCAAACCTTCCATCTCAACCTCCCAAGTAGCTGGTACTAAAGGTACTTGCCTCTATGCCCAGCTAATTTTTTAATATTTTTGTAGAGAGAGGGATCTCACTATGCTGCCTAGGCTGGTCTTGAACTCCTGGGCTCAAGCGATCCTCCCACCTCACCCTCGCAAAATGCAGAGATTATAAATGTGAGCCACCACACCCAGTCTTATTGTTATTTTTTACCCTAGTCTGACAGTCTTTGAATTTGGAGTGTTTAGTCTACTTGCTGACATGCTTGGTTTGTTTTTTTTTTAAATCAGGAGGTACATGTGCAGGTTAGTTACATAGATATATTGTGTGATGGTGAGGTGGGCTTCTGTTGAACCTGTCACCCAAATAGGGAGCATGGCACCCAATAGGTAGTTTATCAACCTTTGGCCCCCTTTAGGAGTCTCCAGTGTTTGTTGTCATTTGTTCATGCGTGTCCAGTGTTTAGCTCCCACTTGCAAGTGAGAACATGTGATATTTGTTTTTCTGTTTCTATGTTAATTTACTTAGAATTCAGCCCTTAGCTGCATTTATGTTGTTGCAAAGGACATGATTTTGTTCTTTGTAATGGCTGCAAGTAATCTATGGTGAATATGTACTGTACATGGGGGGACTCAAATAAAACTGTAGTTATTTTTCAGAGGCCAGGCGTTTTGTAGTACAGGCTTCCCTGCTAGGTAAGTAAGTGTTCTAGGAACCCCCTGGCATCAGCGTACCAGTTAGCATTGTTGTGAAAGGCTGCATTTGGCTTCAGTGAATTTTGGGGGGAGATTCTTTCAATGCATTTGCCCTATTTGCTCTGTTGGTTTCTTTTGCCATGAGGAAGCTCTTTAGTTTAACAATTCCCACTTGTCGATTTTTGTTTTTGCTACATTTGCTTTTGAAGATTTGGTCATCAGTTCATTGCCTAGGCCAGTGTCCAGAAGAGTTTCCTAGGTTTTCTTCTAGGAATTTTATAGTTTGAAGTCTTACATTTAATCTATCATGAGTTAATTTTTGTTTATCATGGGAGGAACAGTCCAGCTTCATTCTTCTGTACATAGCCAGCCAGTTTTTTCAGCACCATTTATTGAATAGGGAGTCCTTTTCCCAGTGTTTTTTGTTTTGTTTTGTTTTGTTTTGAGTCAGAATCTTACTCTGTCGCCCAGACTGGAGTGCAGTGGCCGCTCCTGACCACTGCAGCCTCGACCTGCTGGGCTCCGGCGATCCTTCCGCCTTAGCCTTCCGAGTCTTACATTTAATCTATCATGAGTTAATTTTTGTTTATCATGGGAGGAACAGTCCAGCTTCATTCTTCTGTACATAGCCAGCCAGTTTTTTCAGCACCATTTATTGAATAGGGAGTCCTTTTCCCAGTGTTTTTTGTTTTGTTTTGTTTTGTTTTGAGTCAGAATCTTACTCTGTCGCCCAGACTGGAGTGCAGTGGCCGCTCCTGACCACTGCAGCCTCGACCTGCTGGGCTCCGGCGATCCTTCCGCCTTAGCCTTCCGAGTAGCCAGAATTACAGACACGCGCTACTACGCCTGGCTGATTTTTTGATTTGTTGTAGAGATGAGGTTTTGCCAAGTTTCCCAGGCAGGTCTCGAACCCGCAGGCTCAGGAAATTCACTCACCTCAGCCTCCCAAAGCTCAGGATTGCAGGCTGAGCCACCGAGCCCAGCCTCCCAGTGTTTAGTTTTGTCAACTTGGTCCAAGATCCGTTGGTTGTAGGTGAGCAGCTTTATTTCTGGGTTCTCTATTCTGGTCCATTGGTCTGTGTCTGTTTTTGTACTAGCACCTTGCTATTTGGCATGTATAGGCTCTCAGTAGATGTTGGCTGGTTGCATGGATAAATGGGATCAAGGGAGGATAAATTACAGATAACCCCTGAATTTTTAACTCAGGCAACTGTGTGGATGGTAATCTTCACTTAGGGAGTACAAAAAGTGGAGATTGGAAACTACTTCATATACAACAGATAATGATATTATCTTGTTTTATGCCAGTAATGTATGCAGTTAATACTAATCAGGAAATCTGATCAGATTAACTTATTATTTTTCTTTTTTTTAGGCCTATAAAACCTTTGCTAACCGGGTAAACAATTTAAAGAAGAAACTGGATCAATTGAAGGCAACCCTTCCAGATCCTGAAGAATCACCAGTCCCTTCCCCAAGTATGGATGCTCCCTCCCCAACTGGTTCTGAGTCTCCTTTTCAGGGAATGGGAGGTGAGGAATCCCAGTCACCAACCCTAGAGAGTGAGAAGTCTGCCACACCTGAGCCTGTGACAGATAACCGTGATGTGGAAGATATGGAACTCTCAGATGTGGAAGATGATGGGTCAAAAATCATTGGTATGGCTTACGTGATTTTATTTATTTATTTATTTTTTGCACCAGGATTTTACTCTGTTGCCCAGGCTGGAGTGCAGTGATACGATCACCGCTCACTTCAGCCTTGACCTCCTGGGCTCAGAGCAATCCTTCTGCTTCAGCCTCCCAAGTAGCTGGGACTCCAGGTGTGTGCCACCATACCCAACTAATTCTTCCAGGTCAGAATAGCATGTAGAACTATCACCATATTCAACACAGTAGGCGTCTCCTCACAGCCACCAACTAATTTTTTTTTATTTTTGTAGAGCCAAAGTCTTGCTGTGTTGCCCGGGCAGGTCTTGAACTCCTGGGCTCAAGCAGTCCTACTGCTTAGGCCTCCCAAAGTGCTGGGATTGCAGGCATGAGCCAACACACTTGTCCATTATAAGTTAACAGACAACTTATTCCGTATCTGTTTTGCTTTCTTGGCAGTTAATCAATCATAGGCAACTATTAAAAGATAGTTCAATCCTTGTAAGATTAGAACACTAAGGTAACATTATTATATCTAGAGCAGTAGTTCAGGATTTGGTATGCAGCATCAGTTAAGGATCATTGCTCAATATCTGCATTGTTCAATATGGTAGCTACCAGCTACATGTAGCTATTGAAGCATTTGAAATGGGGCTTGTCCAATTTGAGATGTACTCTAAGTATAAAATACACATTGGATTTCAGGAACTTAGTACTTTCCCACAAAAAGTAAAAATATCTTATTAATAATGTTTGTATTTATGACTCATTGAAATGAAAATATTTGGGATATATTGGAATAAATATGTTATTAAAATTAAGGCCTAGCATGGTGGCTCATGCCTATAATCCCAGCACTTTGGGAGGCAGAGGTGAAAGAATTGCCTGAGCCCAGGGGTTTACCCAAGACCAGCCTGGGCAATTTGACAAGACCTCATCTCTCCAATAAATTTTTTTTTAAAAATTAGCTGCGTGTGGTGGCACATGCCTAGGTGGGGAAGGGATTGCCTGAACCCAGTAGATCGAGACTGGGATAGCCCTGAGCATGTCACTGCATTCTGGTCTGAGGTACAGAGTGAGACTCTGACTCTAATAATAATAATTTTTGTATTTATCACTCACTGCAATGAAAATATTGGGGATATATTGGGATAAATAAAATATATTATTAAAATTAAATGTTTAATTTTTTAATGTGGCTACCAGAAAATGAGGCCGAGGTGAGTGGATTGCCTGAGCCCGCGGGTTCGAGACCCACCTGGGCAACTTGGCGAGACCTCATCTCTACAATAAAGATCAAAAAATTAGCCAGGCATAGTAGCGCACACCTGTAGTTCCAGCTACTTGGAAGGCTGAGGCGGAAGGATCGCCAGAGCCCAGTAGGTCGAGGCTGTGGTGGCCAGGAGCGTGCTACTGTACTCCACAGTCCTGGCAAGGGAGTGAGACTCCAACTCAAAAAAAAAAATTATGAAGTGTATGACTTTGGGCGCAGTGGCTCAAGCCTATAATCCTGGCACTTTGGGAGGCCAAGCTGAGAGTGCTGCCTGAGTCCAGGGGTTCGAGAGTCCCCTGGGCAACTTGGTGAGACCTTGTCTCTACAATAAGTCAAGAAAAATTAGTCGGGCATGGTGGCACACGCCTATAGTTCCAGCTACTTGGAAGGCTGAGGCGGAAAAATTATCTGAGCCCAGCAGGTTGAGGCTGCAGTGGCCGTGAGCATGCCATTGCACTCCAGCCTGGACAACAGAGTGAGACTCCTGACTCAAAAAAAAAAACACAAAGTGAGTAATTGTTTTCTCTAAAGTAGTACTTTCAAATCAGGAAACATTGAGAAATGTTATTTCATATTGGAAGCAAAGTTTGGAAAGTAGTAGAATGTAATATTTCTTTTCTTTGTTGAAACAGTCGAGGACAGGAAGGATAAACCTGTGGAGAAGTCAGCTGTATCCACTTCTGTACCTACAAAGCCAACAGAAAGTATCTCAAAGACCTCTTCGTGTGCCCCGGTGCCTGTGACCATGACGGCAACCCCACCTCTTCCAAAGCCTGTGAATACTCCTCTTCTGTCCCCTTCCCCAGCATTGGCTTTGCCAAACCTGGCTAATGTGGATCTGGCAAAGATCAGTTCCATCCTTAGCAGCCTGACATCAGTCATGAAAAATACTGGTAAGTAAACCCAGTAAAGAGGATAAAAAGTTAATTTCATCTTTTTAAATTGAATCAGTCTCATTTTCATTGACTTTTAAAAAATTTTTTACATTAAAGCATATAATATGACTGGGCTCAGTGGCTCAGCCTGTAATCCCGCGCTTTGGGAGGCTGAGGTGAGTGGATTGCCTGAGCCCGTGGGTTCGAGACCCGCCTGGGCAACTTGGTGAGACCTCATATCTACAATAAATCAAAAAATTAGCCAGGCGTGTAACGCGCACCTGTAGTTCCAGCTACTTGG